ATATATATATATACACACACACACACACACACACACACACACACACACATATATAAAACCGATAGTTCTGCTTAGTTTCATTAGATTGTCATTGGTCATGTTCTCTTTTGATGTTAGTTTGCTCTGGTGTTTAGTGGATGGGCTGGAATGCCTTTCTTTTCAACCCCTAATCCCAGAATCCACTGCTGTCAGCACCCATAAAGCAGTGGGTCAGAGATGACATGCTTCCCCCCTCGGTTACCCAGAATCTCATTTCACTTAGAATAAAATGCCACCAAACCCCTTACATTTATAAAATGAATCTAGGCTATATCCTTCATAGTTATAAAACAAAATCCCACCAAACTCGCCTACAGCGTTTAGCCTCGATTCTGAAGCACACACTAAAGAAAACACCTAATCTGCTTTTAACCCTCGCAGACCCCTTTAGAAAGTCCTTCAATGAGCCCACTGGAGAAATTAACCATCACTGGAAAGCCGATCACTGAGCTCATCTGTTGTCTTTTCAATTATGTCACTATTTTTATTATTGATGGACTTTTGCCATTTTTATTGTATGTTGGCAGTAAAGAGCAGACAGGAGGTTGGGAAAAAAAGGGATCTTTTTTTCTGACACAGACCAGATTTAATCCTTATCGGTCATGAACACACCATCTAACCACTGTACCACAGTTCTGACAAACAAAATCAAATGCACTAAAAATGAGCATGTGGTCCATTATAGTAGCTTTTAGCATGTTCAGTCAGTATGCATACTAGTTATATACACGTGTGTAAAATCACAAATGTTTCTTGAGCAGCAAATCAGCATATTATACTGATTTCTGAAGATCACGTGACACTGAAGACTGGAGTAATGATGCTGAAAATACAGCTTTGATTCACAGAAATAAATTACATTTTAAAATGTATTCGAATAGAAAACAGTTATTTCACAATATTACAGTTTTTGCTGTGTTTTGGATTAAATGAATGAACCTTTGGGAGCAGAAGAAACTTCTTTTAAAAACATTAAAAATGAATGGTAGTGTGTGTGTGTGTGTGTGTGTGTATACGTACACACACAAATATATTTGTAAAGACATCCATACACTGGCATTTAGTTTAGGCATTTTTTGGGTTAACTAAAACTAAATGGGCATATTTTTGGTTAAATCAATTACAGAAAAAAGTAGCAAGTGGTTCATTATACATAGTAATTATATTATTTTAACCAGTATATTCAATATATATAGTACATATAAATACACATTAAAAAAAATAATTTTGTAAAGATATTTATATGTAGGCATTTTTGTTAGAAAATTAAATGTTTCTTTTTTGTTTTTACAAAAGTCATTAAAAGCATTTAAGCAGAAGCATAAAAGTATAACAAATCTGGCCACGTGTTCAAACTTGTTTATGTAAAGCAGCGCAGAAAGTACTGGTTAGAGTAACTGTGCTGGTTGTTCATTCAGACACATTCCATCCTACAAACTGAACATCAAGCGTGTTAGTGAGAAAACACATGATTACCTGAATCTTAAGTATACTGTACCTAGCATGCTGCTGAGCAAGCATGCAAGAAATGCCACAAAATAAATGTAGTGAGCGTAGTATGTGTGCAGAAGGGTGCATGTAAGCAAGACGAGCCCTTTGATCTGTAATGAGCACATGCACGCTAAATACCCACTACGGCTCGGTGACGCCAGTGACTGCGTTACTCAAAGCACAGCATCAGAATCACACTGAGATGCCAATTAGGACACTGAAACAGCAAGCACTGAAAGATAATTAACTGAGACGAATGACTGTTTAATGTGTGATGGGAATAAGAATAACATCGCAAATAGCAAAAGGCAACAAAAGCATCAATAAAACTATTGAAATATTACTTAAAGGCAAATAAAAACAATCTAAAAAGCATTTATTTGGTGCAATCCTGATTACTATATGTGTGTGTGAAAGTCATTATATAGTATATTAAGAGTCAGAGATGCTGTAATAATAAATAAATTGGAATTTTATTTTAATAAAATAAATCTGATTTTATGGAAAGGCAATTTCTGCAGAGACGAGCAGCAATAAGAAATTATTTATACTGTTGCGGGCAAATTATACGTCATCAGTTGCGGTTTACGACCACAATTTAGGGCGCTTTGCTTTGCTTTTATACCAACTGAAAACACAGTAACCGTATCTCATTTTCATGAGGAATCGAGTACGGTTTCAAACACAGCTTTCAGACCGTGCAAACAAAACGGAAACGCTGATGTCAAAGCGGCTTTGGTCAAAGTGTGAAAGTGGCGTTCATAAGGCACTGTAGTATTGTGCACCGATCGTTCAAAGAAGAGATTTTCTCCTGAAAATAAAATACTACCAAATAGAAACATTCATGTACATTAGCTTGTCTTTCAGCGACTCGTGCATTATCGAGTTTTGCATTCAAAAACACACGTGCAAACTGACACACAGAAGTACATTCAAACATATATAAATACAGTACGTATGAATCAGAAGACAGATGAGAGTAGAAAAATAGTACAGAGTGAAATCTATAATCGAAGGCATCAGAAACGGGTGCAGGTGCATTATGGAGGTAGATAGCAGAGCTTCAGAAGAACAGGCTTGTGTGTTGGGTTGGTGGAGGCACAGATGCACAGGAAGGTGACAGACTGCTTAGCTTTCGATGGTTTCAGATGTTGGAGGACTCCTGTGGAATAATTTGGAGCATCCGTGTCCCTCGAAATGAAAGTTGTGTTTTGGTTCAGACGAAAATCATGGAGTAAGACGGACACCGGCAGTCCTCAGTAAATGACTCTCGAACCCATGACCCAGAGCAACCCGGTGCTGATGCAGCGGACCAGAAGGTTCTAGTGGAAGAGACATTCAACGTCAAACACCTCAAGACTTATAACAATCTTCTTAAGAAAGAAGGTCGGATCAATTCTAAAAAGTGCACATGAACTTCATCTCCAGAGCTGCTCTGAGAATCATTAACATTTTACGGTTTCATTTGAGAAAACGTTCGTCATATCATAAACACGCAGAAGCTTAAAGGTCTTCATGGCATCCTGTCAAAATAAAAGTTCGGTTTTAAACAAATATATATTAAAGGCTTATTTTTTTTAAGGAATAATCGCACCATTTTCCCCCCATGTTTCAATTTGAACAGTAAACCTCTGTTGTGCAGCACTTTGTTTGCAAAACAATTAATAAATAAATGAAAATAAACAAAGAAAGAGTTTGTTTAATTTTATTACAAGATATACACAGAATTTCTGAAAAAAACTAAACATTTCATAGAGCCCTATTATTGTAAAAAAATTAATGAATTTAGTCGTGTTTATGAATTCAGTTAATTAGACATGCTTTTGATTATTAAAATGTTATTAAACCAGAAAAAAAAAAAATGGACAACGCAGAATTTGGTCAAAATTAAGCGTGTAACATTTTACGGTTTCATTTGAGAAAACGTTCGTCATATCATAAACACGCAGAAGCTTAAAGGTCTTCATGGCATCCTGTCGAAATAAAAGTTCGGTTTTAAACAAATATATATTAAAGGCTTATTTTTTTAAGGAATAATCGCACCATTTTTCCCCCATGTTTCAATTTGAACAGTAAACCTCTGTTGTGCAGCACTTTGTTTGCAAAACAATTAATAAATAAATGAAAATAAACAAAGAAAGAGTTTGTTTAATTTTAATTTTATTACAAGATATACACAGAATTTCTGAAAAAAACTAAACATTTCATAGAGCCCTATTATTGTAAAAAAATTAATGAATTTAGTCGTGTTTATGAATTCAGTTAATTAGACATGCTTTTGATTATTAAAATGTTATTAAACCAGAAAAAAAAAAAATGGACAACGCAGAATTTGGTCAAAATTAAGCGTGTCGCACAAGCGCTGAAAAGTGAAGCCAAAATGTTTTGATCGCCCCCTGGAGGCTGGATCTAGTATAGGTCTTAAACCCCACCCTCTCCATGTAATCTAATGGGACCTAAGACAAACTCAATAATCAAATTACACTTCAAATTCAATTTTTTCCCAAAGCGTCATTTTAGGTAGTTCTTATCATGCTGTTGGTATGTTCCAAGTGTTCGTTTTTTTTAATAAGTTTGCTTTTAATTAGTTAACTGATGCTATAAAAATGAGGGGTGGTGTCAAGATTTCTATAGTGGAAGGAAGTTTTTTTACAGTCTATGGTAAAAATTGAACTGAAAATGAAAACAGAAATCACAGAATTTCGGTAAAATTTGAGTAAGAAATAAAATGGGATTCATAGGGCCTTATAAATTACATTTTTGTTAAATTTGTAATTAATTGCTGTTAAATTGTATAACTATCATTATTTCAATTAATTAGGCATGCTTTTTGATTAATAAAATTTAATTTAACCATTAAAACAGAGTCCAGAATAATGTAAACAGAAAAAGATACTAAAGATACTCACTCAAGATCGAGCGGTCTGCTGCGTTTATTTGTGCTTGTAATGCGCAATATTTAAAACAACCCAGCAAATTCATTAAATAGCTTACCTTTGGGGATTAAAGACAAGCTGGCGGTTATCTTAATTATAAACGGTTATTTACGATGATTTTTACGAACATTCTTTTCAGGAATTAAAATTCTTCTGAAGTTGTATCTTTAGAACATTCTTAAGAAATCTTTTTGGGTAAACAAAACCTTCATAATTTTAGAAAAAAACATAGCAGGTAAGAAGATTTTTATTAATCAGAACGTTTTGTGAATCCGTATGCATGTACAGTATGTGACGCGTACCTAATGTTCTGCAGCCCGTCGCCACGGCAGCGGTTATCAGTCGTCATGGCGTCGCTTTGACACTCGATGCAGACGGAGCGTTCGCGGACCAAGCCGGCGCTCCACGGTTTCACCTTACAAAAATCTTTTTGGGTAAACAAAACCTTCATAATTTTAGAAAAAAACATAGCAGGTAAGAAGATTTTTATTAATCAGAACGTTTTGTGAATCCGTATGCATGTACAGTATGTGACGCGTACCTAATGTTCTGCAGCCCGTCGCCACGGCAGCGGTTATCAGTCGTCATGGCATCGCTTTGACACTCGATGCAGACGGAGCGTTCGCGGACCAAGCCGGCGCTCCACGGTTTCACCTTACACGCAGCGCTCGCCTGCTTCACACGCATCTGCACGCAGTAACTGCAGACAGAGATTTGAAAGGACAAAAATAACATTTGCAGGCTAAATTTAAAGCATTATTCACTGAAAATCGCATGATGTGAGCAAAGCCGTTTAGTTGCACAATGCATGAAGCATGCTTGATGATGAATGAACACTGAATTGTTTTTATTTCCACTAGGACTTTTAAACACTTTTTTTTGCAGGCTGTGTAAAGGTCAAAGGTCAGTCTTCACACACTGGATTTCATTAGTTTGATGTGTTATGCCTCATGATGTGAGCAAAGCCGTTTAGTTGCACAATGCATGAAGCATGTCCACTAGGACTTTTAAACACTTTTTTTTGCAGGCTGTGTAAAGGTCAAAGGTCAGTCTTCACACACTGGATTTCATTAGTTTGATGTGTTATGCCTGTGTGGCGTCCTTTTCTCCTCTGTGGTCTGTATGTCGGCCTGGTCTCTCTCTCACACACACACACACACACACACATCATGCTGAAACTATACACCTGTGATTAATGAAAGGGTTTGCTCTGGGGTTTCCTGTGTGCGCAGCTTGGAAGGAACCTCACAGAGTCGTTAAATCTCAGTTCATTTGAACCTGCACCTGCTATTGAATTCCTGCCATCCCATTGAACTCCTCATTATCTGACGTTCATTCTCACACACACACACTAATCTGATTTCCTGGCCTCAGGCAGGTGTTCCTCGGGGGTTTATCAAGGGATATAAAGGATGGGCTTGTAGTAGAAGTTGTGGATTTAACCCTGGATGATGTATTCAGAAAATACAACCTGTCTTAGGTTATCTATAAGCTAGTGTGCTCCTAAAATAATGACAAAATTCACATTTAGAAAGTATATGCATTCAACATTTACAGTCTACGAAACAAACATTGTGATGACATCACTCTGCACTTCAGCTTCTCATCAGATTTTCCGTCCAATCGAATGCTCTCTGAAATCTGAAGTGCCCCGCCCCCTACACTATAAAAAGGGGGAAATCAGTCACATTTACTGTTTACTATATAGTGAATGGCACATCATGCAATACATAATGAATAGGAAGTGAATCAGACATGTACATATTTTGAGCTTTATACGCCAAGGTGGAAGAAAAGATTACCAGTAAATAATGACTTTTGGTTTGTTTCTCACACAAACACTTAGAATATAGCATACAAATTGTATAGACTACTTTAAAGATACTTTTTTTTTGTCATTTTTGGAGCTTTACAGTCTTACAGCCCATTCATTTTCATTGTGCGCACTCTGTTACATGCTAAATAACTTTAACAAAATTAAAATCATATGGGTTTGGAACGAAATGAGGGTAAATGATGGCAGGTTTTTAATTTTTGGAGGAATTATCCATTTAAAGTTGCAATGAAATGGAAGTGGCGATGGGTCTTTTTTTCCATACATCCGAGTGCAATGAATTACGGATAAAGAAAAATATAGAGCGGGGACATAATTCTATGCATCAGTTGTTGATTGGATGCTGAGATGTGGGCGTGGCTCTCTGATGAACAAGAGTTTGCAGGAAGGCTATGACATTTTAATTGAAAATTACAAGGTCTTTTTTTTTATGAAACATAGATAAATGAATTGTTCACATTAAGATCTATAATATGCATTTATAAAATAGAAAGGGTGAACTTTCATTTCATGCCGACTTTGAGGTTTACATATCGACTCATAAATACAGACACAATAATCTTGATGATGCTTTTCTTTAATTAACTGATTTATTTTTAGTTTTACATTTAGTTATCCAAGTATATACAGCATATATGTAAGCTTGTTTCTGCCACAGGATAAAATAAATAAATAATAATAATAAAAGGTAATAGCGACTTTTTATCTCACAATTCAGTCTTTTTTTCTGAGAAATTTGAGACACACTCAGAATTGCGAGAAAGAAAGTCAAAATTCTGAGTTTATATCTTGCAATTCTGTCTGTTTTCCCCCCCACCATGTAGTAAAAAAATAAAAAATGTAATTGCAAATTTTATTTCACAATTCTGACTTTTATTCTCAGTTTTATTCTGAGTTTGTATCTCTGTTAATATCTCTCATTTCTCAGTATATATTTTGCAATTCTGGGTTGTAAATATTCTGGGTATTTTTTCTTAGAATTGTGAGAAACAAAGTCTGAATTGTGAGATTAAAAAGTCGCAATTACCTTTATTATTTTTTATCCTGTGGTGGAAACAAGCTTCTATGAGTATATACTTGGATAACGTTGAGATAAAACACAGATACCCACCCCATATTAGGTGTGTTTGACCGAAACTATGACTGAAGATCATTTCATTAATCTTAATAAACAGCTTCATATTCATCTTGTTCTAGTTCTGAGGGTCATTGTACCGCAAGTCTAGACAACTCTTAAAGTTTAGACTCCCTTTGCTAGAAGACAGGAAGGCCTTCGGTCGCAGGAATGTGTTTGTATTATCTGTTAATGTACTATAATGTTTTGTTCTTTTTCAAAGCAGTTTGCAGCTGCATTAGTTCTGCTTTCTAGAACGTCGCTCTCACCTCTTCTTCTCCTCCTTCATAAGCATATGCGGCCGTCTCCATGGGTCCTTAAAGTTCCGCCTGAATGAGTCAGGCAGGAGTTTGGCCACTTCTGAAGAGGAGGAAGAGATCAAGATAATGAGAGAGAGCAAATGAAACTCATCCAGAGACAAAGCACAGCACCAGAGCACAAAACAAACACACACTAACCCTACATGCACACAGCAGTGTGCTTCATGATTCACTTCTAAAACAGGTTTTAAACATGCATACAATATTTCTCATTCTTGTATTATACATGCAGCTTGAGATTGAGACATATTTATGGTATATCTGCATGCATTTATCACAATGCAACACTATTAACATGAACTGCATGTTGAGACATTTAACAGTGACTAACAATGGTAAAAAGGTGGAATGATTTAGTACTGATATATAATGTGATACTGATGTGGAAATTCACATGCACTGACATTCTGGATCACACACACACACACACACACACTGACTCAAAACCTAGTAAGCTTCCTACATAGACAGTATTTTAAGGGATTATATGCATGCTGCCAATGCAAAGGCCTTTCTAAAATCTACTTATCTTAAGATGAGCCAAATTTTTAAGCAACATTGCATGCATCATTCACAGAGAAGCCAATCCCATTGTAAATCTAGCAAAACCTTTCATAAATTCTTTCTGAATGAGTGTTTCTAATACAGCGGCTGAGGGAGTGATGGCAAATTTGACTTCTTTCTTTCTCTACATTTTTTTTCTTCTTTGGGAAAGTCATAGAAATGCCATTGTGGATTTTTTTCATTTGCTATTGAAGCAAATTGGGAAATAAAATATGATTGTTGTAGTTTCCGTTCTCCACTATATAATTATACCCCCAATTATGACGACTTCCACTTCTGAGAAACCCAGATATGTGAAAACAGTCCACTGTAGTTTGGATGCTGCCTAAGAAGTGTAGACATCAAGATTTAACAGAGCTAGTATGTATATTACCTTTAGCTGCACTGCAGGTCTCGGAGTGCGCGAGACACCCGCGGCGCTGTTTGAGGTCGGGACAGGGCGTGCCTCCGTTGCGTGGGGGCGTGGCTACCTGCCGGCTTCGCTCTGTAGTCCCCGCCCCACAGACGGATGAACACGGAGACCAGGGACCCCACTGCCGCACCTCACAGTCTATAGCTGCTGAGAGGAAAATGAGAGAGACGAGCACATGCTTTCTTTAATTCAAACATAAAAATCACTCACATGCATTAAGTTATCAAGATAAAATAAAATAAATGAGTGCATAAAACTTTTAAATGTAAATCTGGGCTTTATTGCTGTTTACAGGCCTGTTTGACCCTCTGAAGCAGTAAATTCTGTTTTTTGCAGATTTATTAGTCTAAGTGTATAAATAGATTTAAAGAAAAACACTGATTCAAACTAGGGATCGGCGCCGATATTAAGCAATTTTATGGTTATCGGTCATTTTCAAAACGATTTGCCGATTAAATATTTTAAAAGCATTTAAAGCAAGTTTTTGTCAGAGCCCTTGTTATTCTTAATTTTGACATTAATTTCATTTTTACACCAGACATATATATCAGTTCAAAATATCGGTTATTGGTCTACTTGATCTGTAATAATCGGTATTGGCATCGGCCCTGAAAAACACATATCGGTCAACCCTTAGGCTAATTCAAACACAAAACAATCCTTCTCATGCATTCAGTTATCAGGAGTGAAACAAGCACATAAAAAGCAGTAATATTAAAGTACAATAATACTGAAAACAATTGTTTTGGCTCATCAAGAAAATAAATAATTATTTTTTAAGTTATGATGACAACTTCTAATTAAGCTGTTCGACCAACAAACTACATTGCGTTCGAGGGACTTAAGTTGATTGCTCATTAAAAATGAAGTTGTTCCAACTGGTTTCAACATGATTCACTCATAATTGGAGTTGTGGCCCTGGAACCAATTCATCTTATCTATTTCAGTTCAAATTAACAGCTAGCACAGCACACACTAAATGTAACTCATTTAGCATGCATTTTAAAAGGTCCAGTATGTAATACTGACAGCTAGCTGCTGAAATGTGTACTACAGTAAAATTTTATATATTAGAGTTGTTTTTCCTGCCATTCCTCCTCAAGACTCGATGCTCATGCGGGTTGCCAGATTGAGGGCACCCAACAAGAGCAACACGTGCAACTGACAATGGAAGGTGACGAGCCTTATACCGTAAGTTAATGAGTTGATTTATCCTAGTCACAGAGCGTTTTAGATGGATGCTAAGGCTTTTTAGGTCCAGTAGAATCTGCGAACTCTGACCCAGTCCATTTGCATGACTTCCACTGTGTTTTCTGCCAACTGGCAGTCCGGGGTGACAAAATACTATTGGGAGTCACACAGACCAAAATAAAAAAGACATTCTGACATGAAACACACATTTCAAAGTAGAATAGCACTGTTTTTCAAGGAAAAGAAGTATGTGAACTTAGCATGTTTCCTAAACATCTGAAAACATATGGTATTTTTATGCTTTAGTACAGTCACACATACAGCACATTTAAAGAACAAGTAAGAGCTCTATTCCTCAGTGTAATGATAACTACAAAAACTTCAACATTAACTCTTTTAAATTTCAAATATGACAGCATTAAACACTAATTTTACTATAAAAAACAAACAAAATAACACTTAATTTCAACATGTATTCTCTTCATCGGTCCTATGCAAAACATGCTTGGACTTAGAAATCCACTGCCCAGCATCGTTTCAATAAATAAATAAATAAAAAATAACACAAATTTCAGTTTGAATTACACACAATATTAAGGTTGATCAACATTACTATCAACAGAACTCATCAAAATGATGTTTGCAACTTAAAAGGTTTAATTAAATCAATAAATTATGCTTTTTCTTGTAACCATGCATTTGTTTAAGTTGTGGTAACAGATCCCCTGAATGACTGTTAGAGTGCAGGTGAAGAATGCATGAGCGCCAGCTCATTTGCAATCGTGCATTAGTGAGCAGCTGTGCAGTGACATCATACACACCCTCAAACTACACACAAACAGAGAAGAAAGCAAACGCCGCTGAGTCTGGATCTCAATAACACAGCAGCTCTCATGTGGACTCAGAGGAACAGAGATCCTCGACAGTTTCACATGGGCTACACGCTCCAAAATGTTTGTAAACTGATTTCTGTGGCGCATCCTAAAGTGTCTGAGAGTTTGTGATCCTGTATTGAGGAAAAGGAATAAACATTAAGGTTTACTCAAAATAGCTTCTACACATCAAGTTCAAGTTCTACACCAAGTTAAAGCTCTCAAAGCAGATTTTCACCAACCAGGAGAAGTTAAATGTCTCTCAGATTCTCAATAAAGAAATTTCACAAAATATGTTTTTGTCTGGTTTGTTTATTCAGAAAGACTGCACAATAAAGCCATATTAAACAACTGAAAATAATTTTTCGAAGTCGCAAATAAAACGATTATTGGAGTACGTTTTATAAGAAAACACTATTTCAGTCTTTCTACTTCAAAATTTCATGTTTAATTCAATGTGTTACTAAGCCGTTTCGTTGTGAAATTTACTTGAAATGAGTGAAAATAGTTTTTAAGGAAATCCTACACCAAGTTTTTCAGTGTACCATTAATCCAGCTAAAATAAGACCGCAATGGAGTAGTGTAAGACTGATTAATCACATCACACATTCAACACTGGCTACTGTACGTTCCCAAAAAGCATGGTGTAATGCATTTGGTGCATGTGTTTGTGGTGTAATTTGACATTCCATTTGAGATTTTAACGAGTTATTAATATTAATATTAAGGATTAATCCCCTGTGTATGTAACATATGCATATGTTATCCACCAGAACATGCAAACCACACGAACACAGCTGGCGTGCACACATGCAATCACTGTATGTGCACATGCACACGTCTCACACACACACACACACACACACACACACCAATCTCATAGAGCACATATCAAAGCACTGATGCACGTAATACTGTGCCAGTATTGAACAAAATATGCTACACTCAAAGAGCAAATAAAACTAAGATAAACTCAAAACAACTCACATTCACAATTATAATAAACCAATGCAAGTGTGTTTGATCAGGACTGATGTGCACTCTATTTGTTGAGACGCTTTAAAACTTTCTAAATCTGGGTTTTATGGCTGTTTACAGACCTGATTGACAGAACAGTAAGTTCTGGTTTTAGTGTATGTATAGAAATGGATTTAAAGAAAAACAGCATTTCATAACAGAAATCCAAAGTACACTGAAAGCTGTACAGCCTCACCCAAACCCACCCAGCCCTTATTATTTTTGTTGTTTTCCAGTAAAAATATCTAAACATTCATAAATCAAAATACATTTACTTGAGAAGCAAAATGACTTGCATTTTTTCAGAAAACAAGACTTAATATCTTATCAAAATGAAGCAAACTGCCAACAAGGTCAGAAAATCTTATTTTCTCTTTAAAGTTTTTCATTAGCAGATATTTTTGTCCTTGTTTTAAGCATAAACTCATTTCATTTTGAACTTTTTTTTTTTTTTCAGAAAACAAAACTTAATATCTGAAATCTTCAGTCACTTTGCTTCTCAAGTAAATGTATCTTGACTTAAGAGTAAGGCAATGTACAGACTTATATAATCCACATAAAATCTGTACAGCAATACCTGTAAAATCTTTAAGTGAACTGAAGCATATTATATAATTACGTTGATTATATGGATCCTTTATTTCATCATTTATGAAAAGTGGCCATTATGGTGATGATTCACTTGCCAAATCTACTGTAGATGGGACTTTTAACTATTTTACAGCGGAAAGTAACTCTGCCTGTATGTGTTCATACTGCAGTAGTAGCTAGTGTGCATGTATTCCTTGTTGCTTTATTTCATTCATGTCGTTCTGACCTCACGGCTCGTTCGTTCCCACTCTTCTCTTCTTCTACACTAGAGTGACACATCTCAACAATGAACGCAAACACACTCACAAACACACACACCTCCATACAAAGGCCCTGTCAAATTCCCCACATTCCCCTGCATTAGTTCTGCAGATATGCCTCGTACTCGTTCCCAGATCGCCAGAAACCTCTCGTCGCTCGGACCGTCACTGGTGGTCCAAAGGGCCTGACATTAATGGGTCTTGAACGTCTGCGTTCTTCAGTCACTGCACTCTGAGAATCTATCTTTATGTGAGTTTGCTGAATATAAATGAGAGAGAAAACAATACAAATAAGCTTACTGTTGCGACATCGTCACTGATTGCGCACAACAAAAAACATGCAGCATGATGAGTGAATTATGAACTGAACTACATTTTTTAGACATTTTTCAAAAATATATATTTATCTCACCTAAATGTTTGATCATGCACTACATTTTTGTTTTGACAATTGTGCAATTGTTGCACAATAGCTTACACACAGCACAAGCCTGATTTCGTGAGCTTTGTGTCTATGCCAGGTTCACACACATACTCCGTTTGCAGTGTGTATGCAGTCCATGTGTGGTACGCAAGTGGTGCAGAAGCAGCACGGGCTGTGCTTTCACACAGGAGTCTGCTCCTGATCCGTGGCTGTTTACCACAAACACAACATTTATCCATTATTTTGATTTCAAGTCCAAACATTGTTACTTAAAATTATTTTTCAGCATTTTTTCAGAGATTTTACAGAGTAATACAACATTTCATATATGTGGTTAAACACAATAAATATAAGAAATGTATTATTCAATGCTTTTTAGTTTTGCATTTACTTTTAGATTTATATACTAAGTTGCTCAAGCAAGTGGCAAAACATGTATACTACTTTTCTTACATTATCACAAACATTCTAAATTAAAACTTACCATTGACAAAGTCAGCTCTACTGCCTTTTCTTTTCTTTTGCATTTAAATCTTTATTACAAGCAATCCTGTGGTTCATAAAGGCTTATGTATTCCTACCTCCACGAGTGCCATCTATTATTGCCTTGTTTATCTAAAAGTGCCTTTAAACCTTGCCAAAAATCCACAGCCTACAGTATGTGTTGACTGTGAAACACAGTAGACTTTAATTATATGCATTTATGGTGTTATTACTACATTTTCTGTGTCAATCCATGTTTATATTTACCGCAAACAATGCGCTGTTACTTTAATTCAGCGTGTGGAGTGGAAACGATCGCTGCACTGCTGCAGACGCACCACTCCTGGAACGCACTGCTGGACAATACAACCGTGTGCCGTGTGAGCACTTTAATCCGTTAAGATGAGCATGGAAAAAATATGCACCACGGCACTGCAAACGAAGTATGTGAGAACCTGGCATTATGTGTGTACGCTTTGAGTGTGCATGAGCGCACGGTCTCCAGGAGAGCACGCGAGCGCTGAATGGTTTAAACACTGGCAAGAATTAAAAAGAAATGCAATTTATAAACTTTAGTGACGATGTGACACTGCCTCGATTGTGCAAGTGACAATTCCTGTGTCAAATGTGAAGCGTGCAGCTCGCTTATAGTGCAGACGCGATGTGATTTGAAGCCATTTCACATTTTGAGAGAGAGAGCGCGTGCGGTGATTATTCAAATTAATTTATAGGTAATTTAATGAAGAAATATGAATTGTACCTCACCTTCAGCATTATAATTATTTCACCCGCGCCAGACAGAGACTGAGACGGTGCCGCTGCATATCATGCCAATCCTCTCACTGCAGGCGCGTCATCAGCTTGAGATCGTTTTTTTGAGATCGGCCTTTTTAGAGACCGCCGATCAAACATCCCAAAGCGATTATCGGCCGATAATAATCGGTAGCCGATCACTAAGAGCACCCCTACTACCAATATCCAGCGACTACTAAACTGTCGCTAGCAATAATTTTAATCAAACAATTAAATGTCTGTTGTCTGCCGTTATATCCCCATCAATGCCAAAATCAAACCTACACACTTGTTTCATTGCCACACAAAAGTTCATAATCCATAATAACTCATCTTCCAGTGAAAAAGTCAGTCTCCTGTTGTCTCTCACATCAAAATCCAGCCACATATTTGTTTAGAGCTGTTTTGGACTGTTTAACCGACGCTTGATCTGTGCAGATTTCTCTCCTGATTCAGACAAGATGACTTTTCCACTGCAGAAAGCAATATTATGGACTCATATTGTAGCCAGAAGTGACGGTTTAAAGCTAAAATGCCCTGATGGATTTGTTTCTCACAAACACACAGCTTTTGACTTAAGTCGTTAACTGATGGTCTGGAGTGGTGTGGATTACTTGTGGATTATTGTGATGTTTTTATCAGCTGTTTAGACTCTCATTCTGATGCCACCCATTCACTGTAGAGCATCCATTGCTGAGCAAGTGATGCAATGCTACATTTCTCCAAATCTGATGAAGAAACAAACTCAAATTTTTATTTTTTGGGTGAACTATTCCTTTTAGTTCGTTGCTCCTCCTCATGCATTCACAGACGGAGCAGCTCTTCCGAGTGAATGTTAGACCCGTCAGGAGATGATGGGAGGACAGAGAGGAACCAGAGGAGGAACATGTGGTTTTCCTCAAGACGTTCATGAAATGTGCGTGCATCAGGTAACACGCAACATGTGCACCAGTCTGTTCCTGTTCATTGTTCACACACACTCTTATACTCTCTCACAGCACTCGGGTGTTTATGAGGGCCACCAAACCCATGGCAGATATTCCTCAGCATTCCTCCGCTTTCAGGAATCTGTCACAGACGTCCTGAGAGACATCAAACAGACTCACGTCAGTACACTAACCTCACAGCAAAGACAGAGTCGTACAAACGACATCTTTCACCTTCCATAAGAGTAAGATCTTCCACACAAGGGTTATGATGTGAAGTGGACTGCATTAACATCTTAAGCACATTAAAAGTATTAACTTGTAAACGTATCAACTTGTTTTGATCGAATCTTCAGTGCTGTGAAGCAGAATTTACATTTGGTTGTACTTCATGCAGAGCTGCATTAATGGCGCTGCGTGTATAACATGTCATGCACTTGTTGGACAATTTTTACATGTTTAACATCTACAGCGTCCAGATCGGTGGGGCCGCTGTCTGACGGGTGACTGGAGTTTCGGTGGAAATGCTTGTATACGTTATAAAGCTGATGCCTGAATCTAGTGATGGGTGGTAATACTAAAATCTTATATCAAGGATCAATCAAATTTTTTTTTTATTTTAGAAAAAATAAATAGGCTATATTTTAGATAAAAATGTATGTATATATTTAACCCAAGTAGATAACCTTGTATGTTACTTACTGTATCTCATTTTTTGATGGACTCAAGCCAAAGGTTAATTTTTTATAGCAAATGCATGAAAAGTCTGACCTTAATGCTTCACATTGCTTGGTGCAAATGGTACAGCTGTTCAACGGTAAAAACATTTTAATTGTTGGGTAATATATAACCCTCCAGTATACAGTCATTCTGCTGTAGACTGTAACCGTAAATGACCCACAGCCTTGAACAATATAATCTAAAGTCAGATAACAGACAAGACTGGGAAACAATTACCGGGAACATCAAGAGCAGCCTATTAGATGAAACCTGCTCCAGGGTACGAGAGAGAGAGAGAGAGAG